CACATGCACACACAGACAACGTACACACACACTGACACACATGTACATACGTCATGTACATACATGCACGTACATAAACAGATACACACACACACGGCAGTTTCCGTGTCACGTTCTTTCAGGTTTCCCAACTCGAAGAGTGAACCATTCAAGCAGCTCCACAACGAGGTGGTTAGAGTCGGCAATGGAGTACGTATGGATCATCTGGTCACTAGGCCGAAGACAAACCAACAGTTGCTCTGTCATAAACTAACGCACAAGGTTGGTCTTTTGCTGTGGAAAGACGGGCACGTCCTGCTGTGCAGCACTCACAATCATGTATTATACACGCCCAAACACGCGCCCACACATATAAACAAACGTGCACACATACCACACTACATGCCACAAACCACTCTCTCTCTCCCTCCCTCCCTCCCTCCCTCTCTCTCTCTCTCTCTCTCTCTCTCTCTCTCTCTCTCTCTCTCTCTCTCTCTCTCTCTCTCTCTCTCTCTCTCTCTCTCTCTCTCTCTCTTGCTGTCTCTCTCTTGCTGTCTCTCTCTTGCTGTCTCTGTCTCTCTGTCTCTCTCTCGCGAGCGCGCGCGAGCTGTCTCTGTCTCTCCTTCTCTGTTTCTCTCTCTCTCTCTGTCTCTGCCTGTCTGCCTGTCTCTGTCTCCCTTTCTCTGTCTCCCTTTCTGTGCCCGTCCCTCCCTCTATGAAAACAGTGACACACAGAGGGAAGATGTGTACGACCCCCCCCCCCCCAACACGGGACACTTGAAAACACGGGACGGGGAATGTGCTACGTACATCATCGACCGACGTTGCCATCGAGTGTGGGAACGTGCGCATGGACGCACTCTGTTCGACGTTGAGGTCACCGTCGTGCGATCCGCGCGGGCTTTTCCGTCTTGACGGCAACTCCGGGACCTGGTCAACGTGTTCAAGCAACTGCAAAATACAACGTGCAAAGCCAAATAGAGTTGCAGGCTAACCACACATGCAGCTGCATTATTATTTTGATGAGATGACAGTAATTTAGACTTCAAAGCCAAAGAGAGTTGCAGGCTCACCATGCAGCATTATTTGATGACGTTAGAGTAACTCAGGTTACGTTTGGTTGGTCACATTCCCAAATGGGAATCACTTGGAATCACTCGGAATCATTCTCGCCCGTTTGGTTGGTCAAAAAAGTGCGTTAGGTTGGTCACATTCCACATGATTCCAGAATGGGAATCGCTGAGAATGATTCTTTTTGGAGAATGATCATTCCACCTCCCATGCTGGAATGAGCATTCTCATTCCGGAATCAAAAATGATAATGGCTGCCACGAGCCAAACAATGTAGCAACAGGTTCAAGTGCCTCAAATCATGCACTCAGAAGTACCATGACTCTCTCAAGGAAAGAGTCGGGTAAAAGAAAAGACAGCCGCCGTTCCACAACGACATCATGGAATTGTTATATCAAGTGATTCCTAATTGATTCTGACGCGTTAGTTTGGTCAGGTGATTCTTGCCGATTCCCATTCCAGAATGGTTGTAAGCTTACACATGCACACACACACACACACACACACACACACGCACGCACACCTCAGACCTCAGACATGCCCATCGCGGAAGCGATGATAGCGAACAGCGATGTTAGACATAGCAACTTGTGCTGGGATTACACCATTCAACAGCTTGCAAGGCTGATGAATTGACCGCCACTATTTTTAGCCAGGTATCCACCACACAGCTGTTTGAAGTGACTTTTTCTGGCCAGTGAATCCCTATTTTTCATTTTTCCATTTTTTTTTCTACACACACACCACACCACATACTCTGGCATACACTGGCTGTTGGTAACCACCCAGGAGAATGAAAGAAAAGTCAGGAAGAGTCCGAGAAAGAGAAGAAAGAAGTGTGGGACCATAATAGTCGGGAATTGAACCCGCAACCTCTCGATTGGAAATCGACTGCACATACCACTGCACCATATGGGGCACACACACACACACACACACACACACACGCACGCGCACGCACGCACACACACACACACACACACACACACAGTGAAGCATTACCGGAATTGGATGTTGTTACAGTAACTTTAATAGACTACAAAGAAAAGCGGTGACCTGGGTGAAAAAAACATAAATTATTACCCCCCCCCCCTTCCTCTCTCTCTCTAGACCGGCAAGTAAAAATCAAACATTCTCTGCATACAGAACAAGTCCATGGCTCTCTCATCACTCACATAGCATGACGCCGACTTGACAGCATCGACCGGCGGGAAGTGCAGCTGGCGCTCCGCGTTACTGATGGTGTCCTCCAGCGAGATCAGGTCGGAGCCGCCAGCGGAGCTAGCCGACATAGTGGACTGCTGGTGTGTCACTTGCGTCGAGTGCGCGGGCCGTGCTCCCTGATTGCCGACCAGCGCGATCGACTCGTAGCCCTGGTTAACAGTTCCAAGAGCGCTGTTCTCCGATACCTTGACGGGGATTTCCCTCTTGGGCGGACGCTGCACTCCGCTCGTGACACCGAATGAACCAACACGCCCGATCTCCACCTGTGGGCAGGTTGTGTAATGGGACACAAAGGACATGTGCATGGTTGGACGGAATCAAAGAAACAGACAGCACTGAGCTTTCACTCATGTACGGATCTACACGAGCTACACAAATGCGTACACATTTGAAACACATGCAAGCAGTACAGGGATGCACATGCAAGCACACGCACGCACGCACGCACGCACGCACGCACGCACGCACACACACACACACACACACACATACACACCTTGACCTTTGACGCCCATCGCCAGAGGCGATGATAGCAATGCTACGGCAGAAGCCATAGCAACTTGTGCTGGGATTGCACCATTCAACAGCTTGCAAGGACACACACCCACACACATACACCCACACACACGCATATTTGAATGCAAGGACATGCACACACGTGCACACCCACACACTCTTGAAAGGAGCTCTACGTACGTCTGCCAGCTCATCATCCACCTTCCCCAGCGACCCCTGAATGGAGGACTGAACATCATCAACCCGCTCGACCAGGACAGTATCGTCGTCCTGCTCCACCGTGATCAGAGAGTCCTCAGAGATCTTGGGCGGAATACGAGTCCTGCCACGCACAGACGACTTCTGCAGGGGGCTTACGACGGGTGACGGTTCCTGTTTGCTGGACGTCTTGCTCGGGAACAGTGGTGAACCCTGGAAGGCACCTGCGTCGCTAGAAATCTTGCTGCCCAGAGCTGTAGCGATCTACGGAGACAAGGCAATGAAAGACAAGTATACGGTTACACTCTTGGCTGTACCAGAAACTCACCACAGCACTGTACAATGCCCCTAATCAAACAAAATACAACCGAGAACTTTGCCATGGCAAGCTTCTACTTTAGTGCCAGTATTAATGACAGTGCCGGGCTTCGTAGTCAGAGTATCATTGGTCTGTGCGAGTGCTGATTCTACCAATGACAGGCATATTTTACTTTTTGCCCCTTTTCATCTCTCTCCGCTTTGTACAGTGCACATACCGAAATACTGAGAAGAACTGGACTCTCCGGAATGTAAGCCACACAGATATTTTTGGTCACGAAATACAGACATCTACCCAATTTATCACCATTAATTTCACCATCGTACTATAAATGCCGATTCATACTTCATGTCGCGTACGGGAAACGCGTCGCGAAAAAGTTGATCTGAGCTCAACTATTTCGCGTACGGGAAACCGTCGCGCGATGGGTTTCCCGTACGCGAGATGAAGTATGAACCAGGCTTTAGTTGCACCGACTTTTTTTGGGTGAATTACTGGTGTTCAATAAAAGTGCGACCTATACTCGGGAAAACACAGTACATGTACATGTACATATACCCGCATATTAAAGCCGGGCTTATTCCTGTAGAAGCCGATGTCAGGGCTAGGCTTCTATTCACATCAGGCTTCCATTCAAGCCAGGTATTTCTATGTGTGTCAACACTAAAACCAGGCTTTTGCGGAGACAGTGTATTAAACTTGTGATCAGGCTTGTATTCAAAACAGGCTTCTACTGTGGAGGCAGAAAATTTCGTCGGTCAATAATTTCGTCCAACTCCAAAGAAAAGGAGTTCGTCCGGTTGAACATTTCGTCCATGGATCATAAGAGTGTATAGAAAAGCTGGACAAATCGACATTAGTCCTACATTTAATTTAGTCCAAAAACTCCTTGGACGAAAAAGACGAAATTAAATTCCAGACGAATATTTTTTTTATGAGACGGGCTTTCTAGAAGACAAGACGGTAGCACTCTTCCGCAGACTCACCGTGGGATCGTCAATCTCGACCGGCGGCGGCTGGAAGATGAGCTCCACGCGGGCACTGTCGGGAAAGCGGCGATCGCTGTGCGCGTCGTCCAGCTCGGCCTTGGCCAAGACCATGCGCTGGTCACGCACTGCCGCACACGTGTGGAACTGCAGTCGGAAGATGACCTCGTGACCTGTGGTACGCTTGTGAAAACATCTGAAGAATACAATACAACACACAAAACACAAAACACAACAAATTAACAACCGTGGCATGTGTATATGTTGGACTCGGTAGACGATTCAAGCTCTATATGAAGTCCAGCACCCTGTAGAGTGTTTATATAACCTGGGGATGTGAGAAATAAACAGTGCGTCCCCGAGCTGTGCAGTTATTAATTTTAGATATACAAAGCTGACAAACAGTGGAAGGAGTGACCAACTTGTTGTCTTTCTTGTTGTTTTTCCTTCTCCATGTAGCTGCTTCCAGCATGGTAAACGACAGTACCATGGCCTTTTCAGATTTTCATTGTACCTATTTGTAGTACCTCCCGGGATCAGTATTTTCCACTTGAAATAATATCCACCCCAATGCCTCATTCTTAGCATTCTTTTATTCGCTTCCATGTAATTGGGCTTATTGCCAGTTTGGTATTGCGAATTCAAATAAAAAACAACAACAACAACAACAACCAACAGTTAGAAGCTCAGTAATACACAATGAACTTTCATGCAGTGAGACAGGAAGACACACACAAACACGCGCGCACGCACAGACACAGACACACAGACACACTGTACTGTACCTGATCATCACGTCACCGTGGAGTACAAGAGGCGTTGCCAGCTCAAACACGACGCGCTTCTTGAGATCAGCCTCGCTGCCCGGTATGACCGTGAGAATGTCGGACGTATAGACCACCTTGAGATCTTGATAGACCCGGACATATGGACGACAGTAGCCATGACCGTCAAAGTTGGGAATGCCGTGAATCAGTATGGCAGACAGGTAGAGCGGTGACTTTGTGAACTGGATCTGACCCTACAAGAAAAAAACCATACGTGGTACGCACAACAAACCCGATCATGAGATGCATAGCAAAAAAAATGCTTGTCACATCACGCCATAGTATGCGATACAGAACAACCTGGATACAAGACGGAATTGGAATGCTCTTCGGCTGAACAACATGCACAAGTTATCCATCACTTTCAGACCTGATTTCATCTGATTTTTATGACATCATGGTATACACATTATATTATATAGAGTGGCACACCAGCGCTTGTGATGGCACTCCATACAGAGTAGCTCAAAGGATGACGTCATGGAATACTCTAAAGCTGAACAGCATACATAAGCTATTCATCACATTCAGGGGTACAGTAAAAGAAGATATTTTCGTTGGTGTAATATTTTCGGTATTCTCCTAAATCGGCGGTTCGGTGGAGGGAAATATTTCAGTAAATCTTGTTTCCTGGTAAGTGTGCTAGTACTAGTACCGACATTTTTGGTGCGTTTCATTTTCGGTAAAAATTTCAGCACCGAAGTTACCGACAATAAAACACCGCCGAAAACTTCTGCTTCTACAGTGCATGTAATTCGAATGACATCATCGTGTATGGTCTGTATGGAGTGGCACACCAGTGCTTGTGATGTAACTCGCTACAGAACACCTCAAATGATGATGTAATGAAACCCTCTCTCTATCCAATACCCCACAGTAGAGCAATTACCCGTCGAGGCATAGCTGCCTGTCAGTAACAGGTCCCGGACAGGCTACTAGCGAGAACAAATTGCTTGACAAACTACAGCCTGCACCAGCACCAGCAGCAGTACAGCATAGAGACAATCACATTTGGTACCGTAGAGCAACTGTGACAGCACAAGCCAATCTGTTGGCTCCTTTCTCTCTCATGAAAATACAGAGGTTGGAAGAGAGAGAGAGAGAGAGAGAGAGAGAGAGAGAGAGAGAGAGAGAGAGAGAGAGAGAGAGAGAGAGAGAGCTGGCGTCGAGGTTCAGCAGAACTGGACGAAAGAGATGCCACGCACGGACAACTTCACTGCGAAGACTCTCACAAACAGCCCAAGCAGTAGCAGAACGCCAGCAAGTTCTGGCAGCTTCTGGACAGATGAGGCAACTAGTGGATCAACATAACCATAGGCTTTGTCCTCTCGTCGACTGGAACTGCTCACAACACAGCCATCAGCAGCAGCAAAATATGCTGTTGAAAGCACTGACCAGGACACAGTGGCCTGACTGATCACGTGGGTAATCTGCTCAACGTCTGGGTAGTACAAACACTACACTGCAGAGGTAAACTGGCTGACTAACTATAGTACTACCTCAGCACAAGGACTACTACCAGTACCACATGAATTTCCCACCACCTACTCCCAACTCTCGCACGTAGACCATCGGATAAGAACAGGACTCAACACACACAGCAGCAGTAGCATCAACTGGCAACAAATGGAGATGCAATGCAACGTGGCAGGGGCAGATCAGCTTGAGAGAACGTCAGGTCACCAGCCAGATCAGCTGAGCTTCATCTTGAGGCAATGTCTTGCCAGGCCATCAGCCAGATCAACTGGGGCACGGGTGGATAAATATCACGAGACCCCACGACACAAAGAGCACAGACCCTGCTAGAAAAAGGCACCAACTGTCACTCGAGCAACACCACTGTAAATGGAACAGAGTGTTGACTGAACACCCAACTGCTACTCTGCTACTCAACTACTCATAGAGCAGTAGCACAGTGCAGATACAACAACAGTTACAAATTACACAGCAGTCAGCAGTCAGCAGTCAGCAGTCAGCAGTTGTAGTAAACTCACACACCCATCAATCACTGCATAGTTTTAGCAGCATCAGCAATATCAGCTTCAGTGACAGGGGCAGCAGGGTACCAGCTGTCAGGCATACACGTACACACACACACACACACACACACACACACACACACACACACACACACACACACACACACACACACACACACACGCACGTACACGCAGAATCACAATCACAGCTATTGCTGTTGTCCTGCGCTACAGCACTGTGTCAGCCTGTGCTTCAACACCCAGTCAGCCAGTGCCTGAACACTCCGACATCCCAATGCAACAACACATACTCGCATGTTCTAACAAGTACAACAAATAGTCTTGAACCTGTGCTGCCACAACATACTGCTCAGCTGCAGCAACACTCTACTACTTCAAAGTACCTATACATACCTATGCATACCAGTTAATGTACTGCGTACTGCACACTGCAGCACAGAACACCTGCTGATCACAGCTGCATTATGCATACTGCACACGGCACACTCCACATTGTGTGTATGTGTGTGACACTAGTGGGTCGACAGCCAGGACTCTGCGACTGTTTGGTGCATCTCCCACTTCCTGTGCTCACACTGACTGACTATGCTAAATACACACACACACACACACACACACACACACCATCTGTCTGCATGCAAACGCAAGGGACGGCCACTGCAGCTCATAATAATACATGTACAAGGTACTGCCCAGTGCACGAGATTACACAGCAATGTACATGTACATACATGGAGCCGGTGGGCTGTTTGCTTCACAACATCCATCTACAGACACTACCCAGCTAATCAAACACACAGTCCGTACAGCTACTACTCCCTTCCACGGGATGTGCTGAATACCAAGCAGGTTTACAGACACTGGGTCAGGGATCATGATAATGCTGCCCCATGAATGGCCAGCAACATCTTGCTCCACCTGTAGCTGAGAGCCATGTGATCCAGCCGCAACAATACCTGCTACCCATTCTACATTCCAGTATCTTTGGCTTTGTTTGGAAGTAAAATAAACGCTACGAAACGAAACAGTGAGACAGAGTTGGAAAAGCTAGAAATCACAATAATTTACAAAGCACAACCGAATAAGGTAGTGCCACAGCCACACTGATGCACATATATGGCAAAGTTTACCGTAAATCACCATTACTCACTACCATAAGAGGCCACCAGTTTTAAGACCGACTGATCCGGATGTGACAACCTATTGATCTGGTCGTGAAGACTGTCCATCCACTCTCTACCAGCCATACACGTGGATAGTGGCTAAACATGGGTGTATCTATTGATACTCTTACCCTCCAGAACTTACGGTGACATAACATTATGTACCTGATGTACACACGTCAGCTACAACATTCGACTCGCGGTACGCCACACACTTCAAGCTCGCGCACGCGTGATAAGCTGCACACCTTTTTTTCACTACAGACTGCCTGAACCTGTGCGTGTATTTATGCAGAATCCATGTCACTCGCTGGCGATGAGTACCCCACACGCGATATGCCATGTACTGTGATAATAGAAGCACTCGCGACAAGCCAAGCAATCGTGTGCATACCCGAGTCTTCACAATATTCTCCTCGTATATGCGAGAAGTCATGCGATTTCGTTCCCAGCACCAAGCTAGCCACCATGGGGTGTTCATTATAAAGACAGGTTGGAGAGGACAAGAATATTACAAGTTACAACAACAAATCGAGTCTTGTTTTCCTATGAAACACTTCTGATAAAACCAGACTTCCTGCGACTGCAATTTCTATCTGGACACTTTGAAGTCGTGCCAAACACTGGCCAGAGCTCTTCTGCACGTACGCATGCACACACTATGTACCATGTATACGCGGCATAATACGCCCATCGCAAGAGAAGCACGCAAATCTGCAAATGCACTGGATGTGCAGCCACAGATTTTCTCTTGCACACACACACACACACACACACACACACACACACACACGAACACACATGTACACACACGCACCATGATGTGACCAGTCACGGCTCGGCACACAACATGGAAACAGCACAGGAAGTGGCCATGACACATCTGCACTCAACACCTGACGGACACCCTGCAACACATATGTGCATGTGTGACATAATTATTTGACATAATCATTACGGCAGGACGGATCCACGTGAAACCAAGAGAAAATAAGCTCCCAAGAGTGTGCAACTCTGCATACAGGGTCTCCGACGGCGAAAACTCACATCACGTGTTCCAAGTACGACTTGTAATACATACAACAAAGGCTAGCGTGCCCGCAGCCTGATCACGCTGATGACACGCATGAAAGCTGAGCGGGTTTCTGTGAGGGAGTGCTGTTTTCAACTCGTACTGGTCGCTAAAACTGGCTGGGAATAACGAACCCGGGTATAACAGCTCGCGAAAAATGACACAATCTTCTGACCAAGTGACCATTTGTGATCATACTGCCAACATCACGAACAATACTAACTCGCAGATAACAGGACTTTCTCATGCGCGTTCGAGGGTCGCTATTTGCAAGGCCGGCTGTTCTCCTATTGTCTTGTCATTGTTTCAAACCTTCATCATTGTTGTTGCAGCCTGACTCTTATGCATCTATTCCCAGCCAGCAAGTCCGATTCAGTCAGCCAGCGAGGTTGACTCACCACACAGCCAGTCAGTCAGGCAGCCAGAAACGACAGCTAGCCAGACTGAGTTACCTACCTAGCTGGTCAGACAAAGCTCCCCAACTAGAAAAAGTCAGCTTCAACCAGCCAGGCAGCCAGCTAGTCATACTCAGCTAGGCCCTGAATCAACCTGTCAGCCAGCCAGAATGAGCTACCCACACAGTCAGTCAGATTCCATAAGCCAGTCAGTCAGCCATAATCACCAGCCAGCCAGCCAAGTCAGTAAAGGAAAGATCTGATAAAAGACATTGACACGTTGAGTACCACCCACTAGCCAAAGCACGGTGTCAGTGCAGCATTGAGCAAGTAACACACAGGACATCCAATCTCATGCTAGCTCAGCCTTATACTGGAATACAGTACATGTAAATGGCGTTTTGTCACCAGACAAGTACCATACTTGGCAATGTGCTCCAAACGAAATAATTGATGTCGAGCGTGTAGTTACGGAAGGAAATATTTACAAATACGGACATTAGGGAGGTTCTGCTCTACGTGTTGGGAACGCGACGCAAAGAATCACGCGAACTTTCTTCGCGTTCCCGTAACGTAAAGAAATGCTGTTCTGCTCTACGTTTCACCTAGAGAAGTCACGTGGAATGTGTACTGGGAATTTCCCCTTCCATATTTGGCCGTTTTCTGCATGCAGTTGATCGATACCCAGCAAATCCGTACGCATTTTCTCTGCGTGTGCCACAACGTAGGGAACCCCATCTCCGCGTAGAAATCTGGAGCCAAAACACGCGAAGCCGTAGACTCTAACCCAGACACCTCCTCTCTACGTGATTTCTCTACGTTTCACGTATAGCAGAACCTCTCTAGTAAGAACTCAGATGGCGAGCCAAGGCAAAACAATTGTAACATAACTACTGCCCACAATTTCCATGTTACCGGTACAAATACGGCCATCTTGGGAATAGAATAATGAGTTCGCTTTGGAAACTACACTGGCTAGTGATTCGGTGCAAAGCACCTAAGATGACAACACCCGTATACACTCTGATACAAGCGATGGCAATGACACGATCACGACGTTCTCTATAATCACAATCTCATCCATCAAGTACAACCAAGTGTATATAAACCAGTGTAAAACTCAATCCGGGCCGGGGAAGCGTGACGCGTCGCCGTTCGCTCCACTTTCGGCATCAAAGTACGGCAACAACGGACGCCATCAGTCATAGTGATGAAGTACAGCAGTACATGTACAATTGGAGATCACAGTTTCTATGACTTGTCAATAAAGATGTAAAGAGTGATTCCCATTGTCTGCAAATCATAATAATGCAGAGTTGCGCACTCTGGTTTATGTATCCTGGTGCATTGCATATACAGTACAGCGACTGGTGTGTGTTAGCCAGACAGGTTTCAGCAATCACGCACCCCTGACTGGTCTCCAGTGTGTGTGTGTGTGTGTGTGTGTGTGTGTGTGTGTGTGTGTGTGTGTGTGTGTGTGTGTGTGTGTGTGTGTGTGTGCGTGGGTGTGCGTGTCGGCCGTTGGGCGGTTAAATTGCCAATTGAGTCATCTTTCAAAAGATTCCTTTTGAAACTCTCTCCCCTCTCCGCGGGAAGACCAACGTGACCAGCTTTGGCAGTGAGCAAGTAGTCCCAGCCAAGTACACGATGTCGTACGCATACTAGACATACCGTGGGTGCGTGTGTGTGCACGTGTGTGCGCACACGTGCGTGTCCGATGTGAACATTCAACAAGAATCAAAACACGACGCAGATACCAGGGCAGCTGGCACTTTCTGTATGTGACACCACTCCAGGTCTACTCATTAATACACTCTTTACAATACATACACACTCGTCATGGCATCACATCAGTGTCAGCTAGAGAGACTATGGAGCAGATGCCAAGACCTGTCACTGGTTATCGTCAATGAATCATCCATGTACATGCACACAAGTTACAGCTGCAGGTCTGGCCAGACGAAGACAGCCCAGCCCAGTCCATTCTAGTACAACCCATACATGCACCAAAGTGAGCTGCTCACACCAAGAGGACCTGACGAGTTGGCTAATACGGATGCGTTGGCATATACTGATGAATTCGCTAATACCGAGGAGTTGGCTTATACCGAAGAGTTCGCTATTATACTAAACCAACGGTCACACTCATACGTCACCCAGGCACATACACAGAGTGCTGTACTGGCCCAGTAACAACAGTAGCACAATGCTAGTTCGTTGCAACTCTGAGTTTTATGCTCACCACAATGCAATCGCCATAATGCTGTACTGATTATGACCGACGGCTGGCGGTCAAACTCCTCCACACTCCACAGTCGTCACAATGCCTAGTCCTGGCATAGTCAGAGGGCCGCTGGATTGGGCTGTTAGCACAGCAATATTCCCGGACTAAGCCATTTCCGTGATGCCGACCGTACGAGCAACATGTCAGCAGGTCTCCTCCTGCAGGACTTCAGACCAGCTGTACGCACTAAGCCACTTTCGGCAGCATATCTCATCAAATACTAGTATCATGAAATGTAGGTATTTCTCTGGGACAGACACCCATACAGCTGCAGGCCCTTGTTTTCTTGCAGTTATGAAAGCAAGGTTGTCTATTGTATTACTATATAAGACACTGATAAGGACAGACAAGTAGGCATAGTAAACATAGTCCCACAGTGTGGCTCTTGAATCAGTCAGCGGTATTCCTCAGAATAGAGACGAGACTTGCCACGCGCGCGCGAGCGCGCGCGTGTGTGTGTGTGTGGAGAGAGAGAGAGAGAGAGAGAGAGAGAGAGAGAGAGAGAGAGAGAGAGAGAGAGAGAGAGAGAGAGAGAAAGAAAGAGAGGAGAAAGAGAGAAACGCAAACATGGCTGCCTACCTTCAACAGCCATTCAAAGTACTTGACGAGCCTTCTCTGAGACGGTTGTGTCACACCGCCGCACCTATCGTCATAGAAACGCTTCATGGCAAACAGGTCAAGGGCAGCCTCTGCACTCAGGTCATGCTGGTTACTGAAGAGAAAAGGAAAGAAAAATGTTCAAAAAAAGGAGACAATGAATTCAGACAGATTTGAATGGTCGCACATCCCACATGTACTGTACAAGCAGAAAAAAATCATCGGGAATTTAGGGCATGATTGATTGGGCGAATCCGGAGCAAGTGCGCTCCGAGTGAGCGTAATTGTTTGGCCGAATCCGGAGTAGGTGTACTTGGAGTGGAATCCGACCACACCGGCCCCCACACCGGGTGTGGCTGCAGTGGAAATGGACGTTGGCGCTTTTTGCCAGCTTTCACAGAATCTTGGTACGATATGCGTACATTTTGCGTACTACACCCTGGCTTTGTTCGATTGGGCCAGCGTTGCTCGGACCACACCGCCTGCTCGCACTCAGTCCAGATTCGCCAATCGACAACACCCCAAATTTCCTCATTATCGTCCAAAGAATTTTCGGACCAAACTTAACGCTGGACTACCGTACTGTTGCGACAAGAGCCCTCTGTCGAATACTGCCCCAGTCCCAAAGAACCAGTGAAAAAACGAGAGAGCTTGGAAGTTCAGGGCCCTACGCTATGCTTTTTTGCCTTGATGACCTAGAAAAAAAAGCATAGGGATGTTATAAATTCTTACAAATTTATACTTTTTGTTTTTAGACATAACCTGGGATTCGAACCCGCCCCATCGCCCTGCATGCATCCCCCGATACACTTCGCATACATACTCATTCTTCCAAGTTGCTTCACGTTATGATCTTGTATTTGAAAGCCCTATTTGAATATGCATTGTGGCCAGCCGTCTTTGATTGTACGGTACGGGACGGGACAGGTACGGGACAGGTACGGGACAGGTACGGTCAAGGGTAATACGACACCATTTACCGCCTTGATGACGGCAAAAAAAAGAATAGGGATGTTATTAATTTTTCAATTTTCCTATTTTTTTCAGGCATTAGGCCACCCTTTGTTAATTCATTGTTTAACGTCCTTTTTTTCGCGAAAAGGTACGCGGGAGGGCGGAAAAAAAACAAAAGCCCATTCCAAAAACTGGAAACCCCAATCAAACATTTTGATCAGTAAAGCATGTGATATAATTATACAATATTTCTGGGTCTAACGGCACTAGCAGTCATAGAACAACACTCTTTGATGGTACATTGGAGCACATGCCTGATGAATCCAACAAAACAGGTACATAGCATGGAGTTAGCATGTGATGAATTCATTACATCTGGATTTTTACTAGGACAAAAAAAAAAAAAAAAAATTTCACGGTTCGCGTGAGACTCGGCCAAAGGCCCAGTTTTCCGCATCCGCAGGAACGCCACCACCCTCTTGGATCAAGGCGCACTAGGACAAAAGCCAACAAAAAAAGAAAAAGAACACAAGACAAAGGCATGCCCGGGAGGCAAGATTATAAGTTTAAGGTCATGATCGGCACACTGTGAAACTACACAATCATGTATTTACAACTTCGCATATTATTGGTACTACTACTGTCTTGTTTTTTTTTCCGGTCGGAGGCAAAAAGGTACGCTGGCGCGGACGTTAAACAACGAAAAAAGAAAGGGTGGCCTTACCTGGGATTCGACCCCGCGCTATCGCCCTACATGCATTCCCCCATACACTTCGCATTCATACTCATTCTTCCAAGTTGCTTCACGTTATGATCTTGCGTTTGAAAGCCCTATTTGAATAGTGCGGCCAGCTGTATGTGGCCAGCTGTGTTTGATTGTACGGTACGGTACGGGACAGATACGGGATAGCGCCAGGCGTGACACAAACACACAAACAAACAAACACCAAATTAAAGCTGTGTGGACCCTGGCTAGCGCCAGACGTTACTGAAGTAACGTCTTCTACATAGCTACGGGAATAAAGCCCTCTCTTGAATAGTGCCCCCCCCCCCCTCCCCCCGTCTTGTAACCAAGTACATGTGCAAGTTTGGTGTTCTTTTGCCAATGTTCTTGTCAGTCTCATTGCACTGGTGATTTCAGACCCAGTGCGATGACCCAAAGCTTGGTAGCATAAACATCGATCAATTCTCGCTATCAAGTCAACATACTTTACGTTCAGAGGGGGGGGAGGGCTGGAACTAAAAAATTTCGTTCCTAGAAAATTATCAATAATACCGGATGTCCAGGGGCGGATCCAGGAGGGGTTCCGTGGAACCCCGTAAATGTACTACTGGAAGCCACATGCATGTGCCGGTTATGATAATACGTGTATTTATCACTCTCTTAGTATTGACTCCCATAGATTTTTGCCATACCTAAGCAGTCAAATATTCCTGCATATTTCACTCCTTAGGGCTATATTGACCGCTTATATTTGACTCCTTTTTAGCGATTGAACACAGGCTTCGGCTAGTCGTGATAAATCTAATATTGACTTCGTACTTGGTCAGTATAGGAGATTAAAAGACCTCGTAAAAAACCTCGGCTTCGCCTCGGTCTTTTACTCGGCTTTTATTTCCTGTATTGACCTCGTACTCAGTCAATATTAGATACGTATCAGCTATTCAGTTTTGACTAAACTGGAACCCCCCCCCTGTAGAGACCACTGGATCTGCCGCTGGGTGTCCCCTTACCTGTAATGCATGTAGGCCGAGACAACTACACCCGTGCGACCTTTGCCACCTTTACAGTGCACTACTGCTACGTTAGCCAAGTCCGATGCCAACCAGCTGTCGATGGATTTGCAGATTGAGCAGAGGCGGTCTAGAGGTGGAGCTAGGTGATCCGGCCAGCCGAAGTCTAGTACCTGAGAGAGAGAGAGAGAGAGAGAGAGAGAGAGAGAGAGAGAGAGAGAGAGAGAGAGAGAGAGAGAGAGAGAGAGAGAGAGAGAGAGAGAGAGAGAGAGAGAGATAGAGAGAGAGAGAGAGAGAGAGAGAGAGAGAGAGAGAGAGAGAGAGAGAGAGAGAGAGAGAGAGAGAGAGAGAGAGAGAGAGAGAGAGAGAGAGAGAGAGAGAGAGAGAGAGAGAGAGAGAGAGAGAGAGAGAGAGAGAGAGAGAGAGAGAGAGAGAGAGAGAGAGAGAGAGAGAGAGAGGGAGAGAGAGAGAGACGAAAAGACACAGAAGAGAGAGAGAGAGAGACACCGACAGAGCCACAGGAGAGAGACCGACAGAGACACAGGGGGAGAGAGGATATGCACCAACTGGACAGAAACCAGGGCGGCCGTTACCAACAGCATGGATACGGGTAGCAAAATAAAGGAGAAAAGAAGAAGGAGAGCCAACAAACAATGACGAGTGACAAGGAATGACCCAGAATGAAATGTCCAGTGAAAACAAAGCACACAGCACCATACCTGATGGTTGAGCTTGCTCACGTCGTACGAACGCTCCGACACGTTGAACACCATGTAGTTTTCCTTGTGTTTGAGTTTTAGCATACGCGCAACGTCGTTCAGGTTGTTACGATACGTTGCCTCCACTCCGGCCGACGGGAATGACATCGCTATGAGTCGCTCCGTGATGTAGCACAGGTCCAGGTCAAACGACTCGTCGATGTAACGTGCCCGTCCTTGCGCAACCTGGCAAAGGAAGAGAGCGACCACATACATAGTCAGGCCGGCAAGTCGCACACACACATACACGTAGACGTACACACAGCACCGTACAAACACAAGCAGCCCCCCCCCCCCCCCACCACCACACACACATGCATTGTGCCTGAGCGGAAGAGAGCATGCGTGTGTGAGCGTGTGTAACCGTTATCTTTGCATATGTGTGTGTGTGTGTGCGTGCGTGTGTGTATGTGTGTGTGTGAGAGAGAGATTGCAGTTAGGTGCACATGTGCATACACGAACAGCTGAGTTCAGCGATCCTAGTCCAGATTGGGATGCAATTAAAGAGAAAAAGAGAGAGAGAGAGAGAGAGAGAGAGAGAGAGAGAGAGAGTGTGTATGTGTGTGTGTGTGTGTGTGTGTGTGTGTGTGTGTGTGTGTGTGTGTTGTCCTCCGCCCGGTGGACAACACGCCTCCTGGTCTGCTCCTTAGGAGGCCCACATAGCCAGTCAGGGCAGTGGAAGAAGGAAGGAAAGAAGGTGGGTGTGTATGTGCGTGCGCGCGTGTGTGAGAGAGAGACAAATACGCACACATGCGCGTGCACATGTATACGTACGCACACACACACACACACACACACACACACACACACTCACGCACATACACACACACACGTACACCCACCCACCCCCTTCACACACACACACACACACACACACACACACACACACACACACACACACACACACACACACACACACACACACACACACACACACACACACACACACACACACACACACACACACACACACACACACACACACACACACACACACACACACACACACACACACACCTACGCCTGCATACCTTATGCCGCACTTTGGACACAAGACCACGTGGTTCGTGCGGCTGCGGTGCTCTGCTATCCGGCGCACTCTTGCTCACGACGGCTTTATCTTTGGCAGCGGTGGCAGCACGAACTGGCGATACTAGACCAGCGGAGGTACGTCCACACAGCGATGTGTCCTTGTCGACGCATTTCAAATGGCAGTGGAACGAACACACCTGGCAGGTCATCGTGTCCGACCAGATGATCTGGTGGCAGACCTTGCACGCCCGCGGCCTGGACAGCACCGACTTGCTCAGCTGGTGAGCCTCCTGGCGGCCGCGGTCCTGCACTGGACTGTCGGTGCTTCTAGTGTTCGACGACGTTGCACTGTTTGTCCCTTGCCCACTGCCATTCACTCCGTTTTCCCCATTACGCTCACCACCGTCCGGTACTGCCGATGAAGATGGCGAAACAGAATCTCTGCCTCTGGAATTAGCGACGTGATCGGTTTGCCTCGGTACGTGCGTGAAGTCTTGATGACCTGGCGTGTCCTCAGCATGAAACTCGAGCCAGTGGGACTGGAGTTTCTCCGCCGAGGGCAGTGTGACAACGCAGTTCGGGCAAATAAAACCGCTCATCGCAGTGCTGGCGGCAGCATTGCCTGATGCTGGTGCAGCTGCTGTCGATGCCATCAGTGATCTATCCACAAGGGCAGGCAGTATCTATTCTACAGGAATTTTTTTGTGTCAGCTCGTGTAAAACAACCCGCGCCGCTTCCACCATGTGCCAGTACAGTGCAGCGCTGCCAGCACACGTAACACACGCTGTGTGCAGTGCAGGCGACTGAGAGTTGAAGGGCTGGCGGATCAGAGCATGACACCGAGGATGCACGACCTGTAGATCTACCCACGAGATGCTCATCCGCCCCGCAATCTACAAACAGCCAGCCAGCTGCAGCCACCTGATAACAGGGGGAATTTACCAGTCCAGCGCGCACCGCCGGGTTTCACTCGTGTAGAATTTGAACGTTGCCACACAGCAGCCAGCGCTCAGCTCATTCAACACCAGCAAGCAGCTTCGTTGATGCTTTTGCCACTCGCAAAAAAACAAGATCAGATTCTGATGTGAGAAAGCTGCAGCACAGCCAAGGCTAATAACGAACACAGGCCAGTGGCGGACTGCAGAGCTAGCCAGAAAAAAAGGACAGCCAACGAGTCGGCCACATCCAATTTATTCTTGAACCAACCAGCTAAAGAGTCAAAGATTCCTCCAGCTCGAACAAAGCTGGGAAGCAATCTTCTCCAAATTTGACATTTACTTGCCAATGGCCACGAGATGTCTGTGACGTTTTCGGCACAGTCGTTGCATGCCCTCCCCGATTTTCCCTTGCCTGCATGCATGAAACTGGAGGTTTTGTATTGGCATCAAGCGCGCGTACACAGATCAAGTTTATGGACAGGGTTTCCACCGTAGAATCTACGAAAGGTTTTGGAGCCACGTGTTCCTTCTAGTCGTTTTGTCCCCAATATGCCGTTTTTGGAAGGTTTTGCGCCGGCATGAATCGCGGGGCACGTGTCACTTGACTGTTTGGTGGTAAAGTTTGGACCCGTGACCAGGTGACAGTCCATAAAAAGCACTCCCCCGCCCCGCAGATCCCTGCATGCATGCAGCTGAGTTTGTTGTTTTGTAGATTTACACGAATAGAGCAGACTCGTACTCTTTGTATGAACCAGGATGGAGAAAAAAGCCGGGAGGTGCACGGTGAAGCACCAACAGAAACCGAGCTGCGAGTGCGCGAGTGCGCTCCTGTACCAGACTCAAGCTGAGATACTTGCTGCAGCAACAACAAGCGCTGCCGAGTCTGAAGCTGAGTCGAATGGTCTTGGCCCGAGGAAGCTGAGACGCTCCCTTCCTACTTGAATCCCAATCGAACTCGCGCACTTCCACCGAAATTGGATGACTGCGCCCTACTACATGTAGATGGGGATTTGTATGCAACATGTCACTAAAAGCGCCATTTCGTTCTTATAAAAGCAGGGATGACCGCGATTGGCCCATATGTTGTAGTCTTTTGGACGCTGAGTCGACTGGTTTTGGTCCGAAAAGGCTGCGATGCAGCGTTCCTCCTTTATTCCCAATCGAACATGGTCGAACAAGTGGTCACGTGCTCCTGCGTACACCAGTCACCTGGTCACCGTGCCTGCAGGGTACAACTTACTAGCCTGTTTGACCTTTTTTGGGTGCAGTCCTGTCACTCGAGTTGAACCTTCGTGTGAAAGTTGTCGCCTGCTGTAGCTGGGCGTGGTGACCAGGTGATATGGGCACCCAGGAGCACGTGACGGCTTCTTCAACCATGTTCGATTGGGAATAAAGGAGGAACGCTGCATCGCAGCCTTTTCGGACCAAAACCAGTCGACTCAGCGTCCAAAAGACTACAACATATGGTCCAATCGCGGTCATCCGTGCTTTTATAAGAACGAAATAGCGCTTTTAGTGACATTTTGCATACAAATCCCCATCTAGTAGGGCGCAGTCACCCAGTTTCGGTGGAAGTGCGCGAGTTCGATTGGGATTCAAGTAGGAAGGGAGCGTCTCAGCTTTCTCGGACCAAGACCATTCGACTCAGCACCCCGAAGACTACAACTGGTGAAATTTAAATTTTTGCCTTAACTTCCCTTTAAGAAAGCCTTGCGTGCACCACACAGGCACATCAGCGCTGAACGGATCAGTGCAAGGGGTTCGGGCGGTATTCGGCCAACCCCCCAAACTACAAGGCCCTGGTGGTGCTCCACCGCGCTCTGTTAGAGTGCGTGGAAGTGTTCCGTGTGGCAGAAGTATAGGGCTTGAAAGTGCTACGTCACAGCATAGCAACAATTTCAAAAATTCAAAAACTGGATCCACTTATTATTATTATTATTATTATTATTAACTTTTATTTTACTAGGGTGTTTTCCACAGACCTATACTTGGATCCAGTTTTTGTATGGATCCAAGCACATTTCAAGCGGTCTTACCCACAGCATGGTGATGTAGCCAGTGAAACTAACTGGTGGCGAAATAAAAGTCACACCTGCATGCGACATGAGTGGGTTGCTATGCACCCACATACTTAGGCAATAGCAAAGTCACACCTTAGTGGATCCAAAAATAGAAATCTGATGTCAACTTACTACTCCCTGGCCGTTTTGACATCATCACTTTCAAGCCCTATTCACCCAGAATACTGAGAGTATGCAGAAGCTCGGATACTATGTCCTTGCGTGGCGCTGTCGATATGCCCTGGCAAGACCAGAACTGCAAGCCCTGCTCACTCCCGCTGCACCTGGCAGGTCAGGGCCGGCGCTTGCTTGCAGCAATGCAGCCTTGCAGGGGTGCAGTGCTATGGAATTCACTTCCTGGTAGATTCTACCCTGCGTGCCATTCATCGTGCACGCCCAGCAGTTCCGGACGCAGATCATCCCCCACACACTGTAACTGTGGGAAAGCAAAAATTCTGTTGACCCCGCCGCCCCCCCCCCCCCCCCCCACACACACACACGATCTCTCTACGCTGAAACATTTCAAACTCTCATTCTCATTCTCCTCCTCGTTTATAGACATTTTAATATTTTATCCTTATTCTCCATATGGCCGTAGCCATCATCACATTCGCTTTCATGTTATTGGGTTCTTGCCTGAACTCAAATAAATACAACAAACAAACAAAATATTAAACTGGTTTGAGGGAAAGAGACAAACGGGAACCACAAAACAAAGCCAATCTGGCAGCGGATGGAGGCTAGGGTGATTCTGTATGGCTTCCCAGTCTTGGCGGTGAGAAGAGGCGATACGTTTGTATAGCGAGGCGCCATGCTTTCCCATGCCTCCGGTGGTAGAGAAGATGGCTGGGACAAAGCTGGAGTGCTCCACC